CTCAGGATGGCTTAGAGTGAGAAACACAAACTCCTTTTTGAGCACAAGTCCCATTTCCTTGCCATTCCTGTGGGTGATGATGAATTTTAACAAAGTTTTCTAATGATTTAGGCCACTGCCCACCTAAGAGCATATCAGTTAACTCATTTCACTGACTTACATTTACAAAGGGATTATGATATCCTAGGCACAGATGTAAGAACTTTACAAGCGTTGAGTCATGTAATCCTCTTAACAGCAATATGAAGTAGCTGCTATGATTCCCGTTTTACAGATAGAGAAACTGAGGCACAGAGAAGTGAAGTACCTGCCCAAGGTCACACAGATAGGTCCCATTGCCATTTGAGTAGACGTGTGAAGTTGAGGTTGTATTTGGTGTCTGCTGTCACCTGTGTTAAAAAGGATAAAAAGAAGCGTGCCTGAGAGGTTCTGCCGTGCTGTGCTCAGAGGCAGAATGGTGTTCTGGGGCTATTTTAGTAGAGGCGGATTTTCTGCAGTTTACGTTAGTAGTTGTCTCTCTAGAAACTCGGTGTTTTAATTGACTGTAAATGTTTGAAAGTGAACAATTTCCATGTATATTCAACAAACGCATTAGCTCTGCCCAAGTGCAGCCCTGCATAATTATGACCTTTTTATGACGGGAGGGATGGCTCTGGGTTGTGGCATCTCCCCAGATATATGGCAATGATTATAGAGTTAATAATAAATGACAGTTATTATATATAACTTGTTGCTCCCCTCAAACAAACAAAAACAGCTCAGCCATGAAAAAGAATGAAAACTGCCGTTTACAGCAACATGGATGGACTTGGAGGGTATTATGCTAAGTGAAGTAAGTCAGACAGAGAAAGACAAAGACTGTATGATGTCACTTATATGTGGAATCTAAAAAATACAACAAACTAGTGACCATAAGTAAAAAGCAGCAGACTCATAGAGAACAAACTAGGGGTTACCAGTGAGGAGAGGGAAGAGGGGAGGGGCAACACAGGGGTAGGTTATTAAGAGGCACAAACTATTGTGTATAAAATAAGCTACAAGGATATATTATACAATACAGGGGATATAGCTAATATTTTATCATAACGACAAATGGAGTATGACCTTCAAAAATTGTGAATCACTACATTGTACACTTGTAACATATAATGTTGTACATCAACTATATGTCAATGAAATTTGAAAACATTTAAAAAAATGTTTATGTAATGATGTTATATGAATCTCTGGAAAACAGTGATCAGTGTTATATATGCCAAGGAGATGTCTTAAATTAAAATAATAATATGTAGACAAATCATTTCTTGCTAAGTATGATATTAATATTCCCTCTTAACAATGGTGACGTTGATTCCAAAGCTGTGAATGGAAGGAACACACAGAGCCCCAGATGTGTACGTACAAGGCCCCCAAAGCCAGTTTTCCCAGGATCGTTATCTTGATCTCAAAATTCTCTCTAAAATAAGGAATGTGATACACTTTTTATCCAAATGAATTAAAGTGAAATAAAGTATGTATCTTGAAAAAATAATACATGACAGTTAATGACATTTTCTATGTAGCCAACACCTGCTAAGCACATTCCATGATTATTTTGTTGAAACCTCCCAGCAGCCCCATGAGGCAGGTCCTGGGAATGCCTCCTTTCCACAGATAGGGAAACTGAGGCCTGGAGAGGTTTAGTAATGGAATACAGGTCACACGGCAGGGGTCTGAACCTGAAACTGTTTCCTGAGCCTCTGGTCTTGACCACCGTGTGCTGCCTCCCCCGTGCGAGTGGCCCTGCCCCTCTTCCTTGCTGACTGCTGTGCCTGCCAGGGATTAACAGTGGATCCTGATACATTTCTTTACTCGATATATTTTTGGCTTTTTTTTTTTAACTGAAGTATAGTCAGTTTACACAACACATACATTTCTTGTAGCCGTTCTGCTTCCTGTCTTAATAGGATCCTGCTACTGTCCTTTGCTGTATAGCAAGGATTTGAAGAGTCAGATTTCACTCAGTGCTCCTCCATCATCAACCTTACACCTGAGTTCAGCATTTGCTGATTGACTGGTTGCTAATTGACCCCGCCCTGCTGGAGGGCAGAGCAAGAATCCAGCACTTGTGTAGGCGGGGCCAGGGGAGACCCTGAAAAAGTGGAGCCTGACATCGAATGTGGGGATTGTACAGAGGGCAGTTTGTGTGCTGTCACCTGAGCTGTTCATTGGGCACCTTGAGAAGGCTTGCACCTATTTATTCTTTAATTTTTTAAAATATTTTTTAATTGAGTTATAGTCACTTTACAATGTTGTGTCAAATTCCAGTGTAGAGCATGATTTTTTTAGTTATACATGAACATACATATATTGTCACTTTTTTTTCACTGTGAGCTACCACAAGATCTTGTATATATTTCCCTGTGCTATGCAGTATAATATTGTTTATCTATTCTATATCTTGAAATCCCAGTCTGTCCCTTCCCACTTCCCACCCTCTTGGCAACCACAAGTTTGTATTCTATGTCTGTGAGTCTGTTTCTGTTTTGTATTTATGGGGGTTTTTTTAGATTCCACATATGAGTAATTTCATATATTTTTCTTTTTCTTTCTGGCTTACTTCACCTAGAATGACATTCTCCAAGAACATCCATGTTGCTGCAAATGGCGTTATGTTGTCAGTTTTTATGGCTGTAATAGTATTTC